TGTTCCTAATGGTGGGCTCTACGAAGATCACTACTCTCTTAGAAGATTCTAGAGGTAGGTTCTACCATGATAATTGTCCTAAGCCTTTCTAAAAGGTTCTATGGTGGATCCTACATGAACTACTATCCTAACCTAAATTCTAATTTTTTTTCTAAAAACTACTCCACCTACATATTCCTATGTACAAATAATACAAATATCCTATCCATACCTTATTACATAAAAAATATTAATTTATGATATTTTAAAAATTAAATTATTATATTTATATGGAATTTCTTTATAAACTTATAATATTAATTATCTTGTCGAATTTTTAAGTGGCAAACAAATTAATAGTCTATCATACATTTCTTCTTTAGAATTTAAGATTTTATATAAAAAATTATAAATTTTTTTATTTTAATAGTAGATTTAAATAAAAAAATATAAGTTTTTTTAAAAAAATTATAAAAGGACACTAATTCAAAAATGCAAAAATCTTTTAAAACTATATCATTCAATATAAAAATATATTTATATATATTATATTTTTTTTTGTTAAATAAAATTATATATTATTGTCAAGGACATGAATCAAAATAAAGAAAATCTATTACTTTTGTATAATTCAAGAAGAAAAAATATTCAATCCAAAAGTAATATAGTATTAAGACTAGAATGGCTATTGCTAAAGATAAGAAGAGTATAGACTCTTGAAATTAGACTAAGAATAAAAAAAACATTGACAAGAGTAAAGAAGGCTTCACTCTTGCTTCCATATACTATCTAACTAGGAGTTATATAGCAATATTCTTTAGGACCTCCAACATGTATTGACTTTGCAAGACACATGTCTTAACTTGCAAGGCAAGTTTTTTATATGTGCGCCACATAGTTAGCTTGTTTGAGTAGCTATCAACATGTGTGACATGTGGCTAACTTATTGACCAAGTTTCTAACTTACGAATCGATTACAAACACATATAAAGTCAAAGTTGTATCTATAAAGCTTCTTTAGAAGATATTATGTAATTAATCTATTTTTAATTACTTCTATTTAATCATTTAGGTAATTATTGGAATTTATATGTATATCCGTGATAATTATTAAATTTATAACATGATTTATTTTTTAAATAATAATTTATATAATATATTTAAATTTAATTATAGATAAAATACAAAACTTGTCTATAATGTATGTATTATAAGTTAGATATCATCCAAATTCTATTTAATGATAGTATTATTACAATAATTATTCTTTATATAAAAAATGATATATATTCCTAAAAATTTATAATTTAAACTTATTTAGATTATATTGAATCTATTTTAAATTTTGGTATAAAATTTTCATGAAATTTTTTTTGAATAAAAAAATATATTTGTAAAAATATACATTTTTATCTATCATTCAATACCATATTCATTTTTTTAAAATAATCTTAATATTTAGGCTTTAAATTTTTTGTTCATAAAAAATAATTATAATTTTTTATAAAGATTTCAATGTGCCTAAAAATGAAAATTAAAAACTTCTTGCAATATTAATTATTATTTTTAAAACTAATTTGAATTTAAATTTCTAAGTCAAATTCCAATATTTTTCATAAATTCTTCTAAATCAAGTGATTAAATATGTATCTATATATATATATATATATAACACAATATTTAATAATGCAATAACTTCTATTGCATGATACTTTTTACTCTCACCAAGTCCATTTCATAAAGATGAATGAATATTTATATTACTTAAAATTAAATATATTTTTTATAATTTATCAAGCTATAGAGGTTCTTTGCAATTAAGAATCAATGACATGTAGATAAGAATTAATGGTAGTAGAAGTGGTAGTCGTCCAAGCATAGGATACTCTATATTAACATGCTAATATATCTTAATCCAAGATTCCAAATATTTATTTTAGTAATTAGATAGCTCATGTTTGTTGATAATATTTTTGTCTTCCAAATATATTATGTTAGAGAAAAATTATTATGATTATTATTATTATTATTATTATTATTATTACTATATATGTGTGCATATTAATTATAGTGAGGACAAACTTAAAACTTCCAAAATCATATATGATCTTGTATCTTTCCGGTCCCCATTTAATATGAGTCCATGCTAATTGAAGAAACCAATTTATATCACCTTACAAATGTTCTTGATATGCTTTATATATCCCTCTCCATTTTAGATTTTAAACATAAATTTTATAATTACTTCCAACTAACTAAGCCACAACTTTTGGGTAATTAATTTAATTGGCAAAAACTATTAGAATATAGGTAAGGTAGGTGATCTCTATCACTTGTCATTTGTCGGGTTGCTCAAACACTACATTGTGCAATTTGCTTATTGATGCGGCTGTGCCACAATAAAAATATCTTTTAATATAAAATATGGATATTCTTTGTAACCTCTTTAAGGTGGTTATATCAAATTTGACATAAGTACTTATGTTCTTTGAAATCAATGCTAAAATCAAGAAGACATATATGACAATATCCATCTTTTTAAAAAATAAAGTTTAATCTATTTATTATTATTATTATATATATATATATATATATATATATATATATATAGAGAGAGAGAGAGAGAGAGAAAAAAAAAAAAAAAAAGAAAGAATTTTTGTTTCTCTAATTTGATATTGTTTTGGATGCTTCAATGTAACTTGAAAATTACTTTTTTTCTCCAAATTTCTATATATTGGTATAACTCATCAACCATTTTTGCAATATATATATATATATATATATATATAGAGTGAGAGAGAGAGAAAAGAAAGAAAGAAAGAAAGAAAGAAAGAAATTAAATATTCAAATCTAAAATTAAAATAGTATGAATTAGACAAGTTTTGTTGTATATCCAAATTAAAGTGGAAAAAAAATTAAAAATTAAAGAAATATTACATTTGATAAATCTGAATTTGATTCAACTCAAAGAAATATATAAAAGAAAAGTAGTATGTTCTTGCAGTTGTTGAAAACTCCTTTGTTAATAAATACATGTGGGAATCTATACATTCATTTAACTTATAATACCTATATTTTATTTCAAACTATCATAAATATGCATATTAAGAAGCTTAATGTGTTCTTATTTCCATCCATCAATGTAAATATTTTCTTTGTATAGTACCAAAACAAAACATATATATATGAGAATGTCAAATAGATCCAAGTTTTTACTGAATCAATCATCTCATACTAACCATCATGAGAAAAAGAAAAAAGAAAAAAACTCCAGATTAATTTTTCCACTACCGGATCTGCAACCAATAAAAATCAACCACATTCATCATGATTACCATATTCTTCATCAAGAGTGAGTCAATTTTGTAAAAACCTGGGTCTATTTAACATTCCCTTATATACAGTGACAAACAAAACAGAGTACAAAATCTGAACACTCATAGTTCATTGATCCTTCCAACTGACACATAAGTCAATTGATAGAATTACTTTTTTATTGTGTATATTCATCCAGTCTTCTATATGGATGAAAAATCTCATTATCATTTGAGGTAGGGTTTATGAGAAAAGTGTTGTAGAAGCACACAGACGTGCGTACTCAGTTTTGGTTGCTTCTTCTTGCTGAATTTCGAAATTTCAATGTACACTCGTTGTTGCAAGATTTGAGGGCATTTTTTGTTTGTTGTGTTGCTCTTGTTGTGTACTATCTATAGTGAAAGTTGATTTGTCAATTGTATCTCTATGCCTCGGTTGTGTGAATCATTGAAGCACCAAGAATTGGTGCAGCTTAGGAGTGGTGTTTCTATAAGAAAAGTTGCAGACTCACTTGGAATGAGTCAGTCTTCAGTAGCTCATCTGAGGAGGGAGATTAGTGGTGAAATAGAAAAGCAAAGAGGAGGACGTCCAAAGGTTTTAGGAGAGCAAGAGAAGCGACTTGGTGTGCACCTTGTCACTGCTGGTTGTCTCAAAACGGCAAGTGCAGCTGCAAAACAACTTCGAGAAAAAACAGGTAAACACTTCTCAGACATCACCTTGAGGCGTGGTTTGAGAGAAGCTGGTTTGGGTGCTTGTGTGCAACAAAAGAAGCCTCTACTTGCCAAAAGATATGTTCTTGCAAGGTTGAGTTTTGCTCATAAATACAAAAATTGGACCGTTGATGATTGGAGACGGGTTATTTTTAGTGATGAGACAAAGATTAACCTAATCAACTCAGATGGTAGGTCTTGGTGTTGGTTGAGAGAAGGAGAACGACTTGGATCTAAACATGTTAGTCAAACTGTCAAACATGGTGGTGGTTCAATTATGATTTGGGGTTGTATGACTGCTTTTGGGCCGGGTGCTTGGTATCAAATTGAAGGTAGAATGGAACAATACTTGTACAAAAAAATTTTAGAAACCTACTTGCAAAGTACCACACAAAATTACAACTTAGATCCTACTGAGGTGGTTTTTCAACATGATAATGATCCCAAACATACGGCAAAAAGTGTTCAGTTTTGGCTCTCTTCACAGCCATTTCAGCTCCTTCGATGGCCAACTCAATCTCCAGATTTGAATCCAATGGAACATTTTTGGGCCCTTCTCAAACAGCGTTTAAGCCAAGTCACTCCAAGGCCAAGAGGTGTTCAAGAATTGTGGGAGAATGTTTGTAGTATTTACCCTAGTTTTGATGCAAAAGATTGTGAGAAACTCTACAAAAGTATGCCAAGAAGGATTTCAGTTGTTTTGGAAGCAAAAGGTTATTGAACTAAATATTGAAGTTTGAAGATTTTCTTTGAACAATACTGAGTACAAGACATAGTTGTTGATTTGACTTTGTAGAAGGATGTTTAGTTATCAATTTGATGTGCAACTTTGTACATGTGTACAAGACTGTGTGTATTATTCTATGTAACTTTCAGATTTATAAAGCAATCATTGAAATTTCTGTAATTGCTCTTGAAAGTTGGCACTTCAGATTTTGTACTCGGTTTTGTTTGTCAATGTATATATATATATATATAAATATATACTCTGTCAATTGAAATAGAGACCCTAACCCCTCGAAAATTATCGGTCCAAAAATCACTTAAGCGAAGCATCGAAAAGATCCCACAAAGATTTGTCAAATTAGGGTTTCAAGTGCTGAGGTCGAAAGGCAAATTCTTCTCAGGGGGACGTCGACCGCAGCGCAGCAGGACGCTACGCTTGCGACAGATTTGCTGCGGGACGATGCATTCCAAAGACGGACTCGTATGGTAGATTGCTCCAATCTCGCCTCTCTGCTCTGCTCCAATTTTCGCAGGCTAGACGTGGTCGGAATCCGTCTCGGAACCGTTCAAACTCAGCATGGAATCGTGAATTGCATGCACTTGATCATTGTGGAGCCTGAGCTCGCATTGTGGCTCGCTACGTCTGGATTTGAAGAGGAGATCGTGAGCTGTGGCTAATTGAGAGGGAGAGATACGACGGTGGTGTTTGGTATTGTCAATTGGACTGATTGTTTTGGCCACAAGGAGAAGTGGGAGCGGAAATGCGTCTGGTTGCTCGAAGAAACCTCCATGCGTGAGCAATCCAGCTGGGAACGTGCTTCGAGTGAATAGGATTGATTGAACACATTTCGCGGCAGGATTCAGACAGCAATTTAGGTTTCCGGAGTTGGCTAAATTTCAGCAGATTGTGATGTGTTGTTGGAGAAACAAGAGGTAGTGGCAGGTTGAATTTTAATGTCAGTGATGGCTGTAAGGATGCGACGAGTTTTGGTACTGGCGAAACGCAGCGCTTATGACATGTATGTGGCGAGGCACCAAGACCCATCTTTCACGCGTTTCTTGTCGGAACCTCAGGTACGTAAAATTTTATACTCCTCCTGGTTCGTGGAACTCATATTGTTTTCATACTATAACCTCTATTTTTTAGCAGAATTCGACACGCATATCGTTCTGCGTTAGTCCCGGTTGCGCAATGTTTGGGGTTTAATATTCGCGTTACACACACCCTGGTTCACAGTCGCTCGAAAGCATAGCTTTGATGAGAATAAATCGTAAGAATGAATTGCCTTGGAAGAGGACCTTGAAATGTTATTTTGTCAACTCCCACGATTCTTGTAAAATTTCTACAGCTTTCTGTAGTCTTTCGGTGTAAATCACATGAGATTTTCGAGAAAGAGTGTTTGGATTAGCTGTAATTGGTTCTGTGTTCGCTTTTGAGCTGAATTGGCTGCTCGTTTGACTCGCAATGCCACTTCTATTCACTTTTGATATTATATGTAGCTAGTCTCCCTGAAAAGTATAGTTTAGGTTTCGAAAAAATACTTTACGGCTGTCAACGCAGCTTGATAGCACTTCTCATCCGTTTTTGTATTCGGCAGTGAGCATGTTGCGAAGTTGCTTGGCGAGCTTAGATCAGATGTCGACCGCAGGTTTTCAACCCATTACGTTTGATACCAGTGGATCGAAGGCCGGTCCACTGGCTCAGAAGATTCTTACTGTGCATTTATACGTGTGTTTACATGTCCAATGTGCCCAAAGGACTTGAGCAAGTAAAACTATTACAACCTTCGTAGTGAAGCAGTGAGCTTCATTGAATGTGTTCTCTTTTAGACCATCTTATTAGGAATGAATTCAAGAAAGAAGACAGTAAAATGTAGCCTTAAACACTTAATTTTTCAGGCGATGCAGGTGCTTTCCAATTCCTCACACCAGCATGAATACGGTTCCATCCAGGTGTGGCTACTTGACACTAAAATATCCTCCTCCGCAACTGTTGTCCTCCATCACTGTGCTACTAGTGCAGCCCTTAACAATCATCCTCTTCTAAATCTTATAAGCGCCCAACAATTTGGTGTCATTAAGACACTCTGCCATGATCACATAGTGTTTGATATTATACACAGTGATGACACGGGTGTATGGGCAGTGGTGCTACGACATAAGTAACAAAGATGTCTTTGTGGATGATTGATTCAACGGAGTTTGTATTGTGTAGATGGTGGGCAACCTTCAAGACAGGCACAGGGTTCATGAGCACACTGTTCGACTGTGTAAAGATGTTCTTAGTCGCCGGCAAGCTCATATCCAGTTCGAAATGCATTTAAGGGATGAACTACAGTCTCCCATCCGCGATATAGACTTAGTGATCACTGTTGGAGGGGATGGAACACTTCTTCAAGCAAGTCATTACTTAGATAGCTCCATTCCTGTGTTGGGCGTAAATTCCGATCCTACTCAAATTGATGAGGTTTGTTATGCAACCCGTCGACAGGTTTTCCAGTGTATGGTTTCCTCATGATGTAATTTGAGCACAACTTTTGGGAGTGTTTGAAGGTCTCAAATCGCCTTAAGTTCACATTTGGCTTAGTCCTATTTGGCACCATTACGCTAGTACTTGAAACATGCATCGATTTTCTAACTTATGGCACCCCTGAGAATTTTTTACTGCTTTTTGGTAAAATATATCTTGTTCTCTTGATTCTTCTGGTACCTTCCACCTTTATATTTTGAAATAAGCATGAAGGATCTATATTCGTTAGTGACGGAATTTTGCTACTAATTCTGTTCAATAAACTACTTAATAGCGCTTTAAAAAGTGTTGAATAGAAGAGTATGGCTTTTGCTCGGTCTTGCAGATTTTTTATGAATGACGATCGACGAGTCGCTATAATCGCTGTGTGGCAGGTTGAGGAAAATCTCGGACGTTTTGATGCGAATCGGAGCTCTGGCCACCTTTGTGGAGCAACTGCAGAAAATTTCGAGCAGGTAGTTAACCACATTTGTACAGTTCACTACATTATTTTCTGCTTCTTGGTGACGAGGTTTAGATGTTATTGTCATTGCGCGATATTGCTGTTGAACGTTGGCGGACATCAAGTGTGGTCATCAAGATTCGCTAATGAAGTTAATGAGAGCTGAATGTTTGAAGTCTTTTGGATGAGAATTGTTGAAGATTCTAGGTGTTAATTTGTTTTGAGGATTAGGATAGCCTTCGGATCTGTTGCGCATTGAAGGACTTTGTGTTAGCTATTTTGATCTTTTTAATAATTTGTTCATTTGTTTTCGGGATCGAATGAGTTTTATCCCGCTAATCGATTTCCATTGATTTAATGAGTCCTCCGGTATTCTTTTAAAACTGGTGGATTTGAGTACATCTATGGTATTACATCAGATGCTCGATGATATTCTTAACGGAACGATGGAGCCAGCAGAGGTAACAAGGATTGCGACATTCATTGATGGGGTCAAGATTGACACTCCTGCCTTGAATGATATTCTTATTGCGCATCCAAGTCCAGCTGCAATATCTCGCTGCAGTTTTAGGTGCGAAACTTCTTTTGTGTTTGGTCCTACCTTTTACATGCAAGGAAATAGGCTGGTTGGATATGAAGTGTCTGGATAGTATTTTAAGGAAAATGATACCGTTTAATCTCTCAGCTATGGCAATGTCGGAAGTAGGTTACACCTGGGAGATATTGATTTTCGTATGATCTTGGTACAGTATTGAGAAGCAAAGCACTGAGGAACTACTCATCCCAGTCATTCACTCGCGTTCAAGTGGGTTACGTATTTCCACTGCAACAGGCTCAACAGCAGCAATGAAATCAGCTGGTGGAACCGTGATGCCTCTCCTGTCCTCCAAATTGCAGTATATGGTAAGGGAGCCCAACAGTCCACACCCGAAGTATACAAGCTTCTTGAAAGGGTTTGTTGAAGACGATCATGTATTACAGGTTGATTGGCGTTCTAGGAAAGGCATTATCTATGTTGATGGGTCTCATCTTTGCTATCCCATCAGTTTTGGCAGCAAGATTGGTGTATCAAATTGTGCACCTCCTTTACGTATTTTTTGGGCTCAGAAGTGAAGTGCGGCTATTGCATCTAAATTTTAGTGGATCATGATCCTTCACTTATACGAACCATGTCGCACCTACACAGTGCGTAGCTCCACATGACCAAATCAAAGCCTTTGCTTTCGGTTAACTCACAGGTAGTGCTTGTATATAGTACTTCTGACGCCAACGGTCATTGTTTGTGCGATTGGCAATTTATTTGTCTATTCTCTTGGTAGACGTTACAATTCTTTTCTTCTTACTGGTTCAACCTGTTGAAAAATTGCAGCTTGGTTAGTTCTAATGTGGCCAAGCGAGACAGTTTCAGGAAGATAAACTTATGTGAAGCAGTCGAAGTAGGTCGATATTGTGAATTGCTGTGAAGTAGGCACTTTTACACTCACAATTCGTACAGTGAAAGAAGTGACTAGGTGTTGATACATTAAAAGACCAATACGTTGTAGAGAACACTGTAAGGAATGTAAACGGTGTACACAGATGGATTGTTGTCCAACAACATTTTCTTCTGAACTAGCTACTCAGGTTGAAGGTCAGTTATTTGTCGATTTTTCATTAACTGAGTAGGTGCAATTTCATTTTCAGAGAAAAAAGGGTATGCTTATGCGAAGTAAAAACTGAATAGCATATACCTCAGTTGAAGAAATTGGCCTATATTATGGGTTTGCAAGTTGCACATCACGTTTAGGGGACGACGGCTCCAGAGACGTAACTAGAGACAGGATCTTGATCGAAGCCGTTAAGGACTGTTAAGAGCTGGATGAATTGGCGTTCAAAAGTTCCCAAGAATAGCTTGGAAACATTGAGACAAGAGAAGGATAATCTTCTGTCACATGATTAACAGAGGTACCGAAACCTTTTGGTGTCCTCAGTTATGGATGCAAGAATTGCCTAATTTCTCTACATCCACGGCTAGTGCGTACATCTTGGCAAAACACAATGGAAGCTATTCAGCAGCACAAGTATGTGCTTTCATTTAATAGGGAGCATCTCTTCGATCTCGCCTCTCCTCTCGACGCATATCTCGGTGTCTGTCTGGGCGATACAAGCCCCGACCAGGAGAGCTACTGCGGTCTTTGTCATCTCGTCCCCAGCGTGATCGTGGAGGGCTCCCTGGCCTAACTCTGTGATCCACGCCATCTAGCATCCTTTTCTCACGGTAAATATCACCTCGCTCCCTATCTCTATCAACAAAAGGTTCCAGAGGCATTCGATCCATGGGACCGACCCCTCTTTCGAAAGGGGGTCGTGAATGGAATCGTTCCCTTTCTCGGAAAATTTCTCGACCACCACCACTATACATATCACGATCTCTCATATCCCTGACTGATCGGAAATCAGACATCCTGTCTGAAATTGGGGGTAAGGACCCATGGTCGAAATCGCTTGACCTGCCACGTCCCCAAGGCCCAGGAGGTTCACCATGCCCACTGAAACCTCTGGGCAGCTCCCTTCCGCCTATAACTGGTCCTCCCATAAATGGGGCATGAGGAGGCCCACCGAAACCACCTTGGCTAAAACCTCCATTGACTCGGATCCCAAGTTCTCCAATATCTCTCCGCGGTTTGTTGCAGTTGTTGCAGTGGGTTCTTCTCGCAAAATTCAAATTCCCACATCTGGACAAATTTCAACCCACCAATCAGAAGAGAGAAATATATTAAGCTAACAGGTAGGGTATACTGTAATTGTGAACAAAATGATGAAAAATTTGCACATCAATCCTTCCGGTACTTCATGAATTTAAAAGGTAATTTGGTGGCGAATTGCTCGTACTAATCATATCCACGTAGAAAGCATAGTATATTTTTAAATAGTTTGTAATTGGGTTTGAAAACATCATGAGTTCAAAGTTGAAGCTTGCGTTAGGAAAGCAGACTCCTTACGTCGGCTCTGAGCATATCCAGTCGCCTTCTCTTGGGGTAACATTCGGATTGTTGCGCCCAAAACTTTCTCCACCTGTAGGGAAGTCATTAAATCCTCCGGGTGAAGCAAATCCTCCCCTCCCAAACATTGAAGCACCACGCCGAATCCCGGGTGGAGCTGGACCAGGGATGGGCATGCGATCTGGGTATCTTCCACGACCTCTGCCACCACGGTAACCTGACCGATGGCTATCTCTGTCAAAATGAGAACCATAGGGGTCTCCTTGTCTTTCATGACTAGAACGGGACACCGGGGGGGGAGCATGTCCGAGGGAAACCTGTATTTTACTTCCTTTAAAGTCGTACCCTGTCATACACAATACAGTAACCTATTCATTCCAAGTTGCGCAGCATAATCGAACCTGCGTCCATAGGACACATGCGAAGGCAGGGACTTGACAAACCTAAACAAAATGAAATTGGGTAAATTCAATCAGCACGAAGGGCTGCTCAATACATATCAGAGTTATACTCTACAGCTCCAGTGCAACACAATGAAGCTGGCCTACCAATTGGTTGACTTGAACAAGTCATCAAGAGTTGAAATACGCTTAGAAGGGAATAAGTCCAGAAATTAGTTTTCACATTGTATGTATTCCTGTAATAAATAGCTAATATAGGATAAGAGTCCAAAGTTAGAATCAGCAATACATATCATAATAGCGGAAGGGACAACGTTGAATACCATTAAACCAGCTGACAATGCCTGTTCCAGATCTAGGATCGTCTAAGACAACCTCTGCCTCTCGACCACCCACTTTGTCTTCAAACAATTTTACCATGGGTTCTCCTGTTTTCCTATCCACCTGCATATCGCAATAATTAAAATCTCTTCTTTCAAAAAGGAAAAATTTAGAAGAAATCACTAAGAAACGATACTGGCAAGAGATACACAAGCGTTGCGAGTTGGGTAAAAAAACAGAAGAAAAATGAAAATTTTAATTACAAAACACGAGAGCAAAGAATCAGGACACGTTCGCACATCCGCAGCAATCATGGCAACCAAGATAACACAAGCAGGGCATAGAGATGATGAACCTTGATATTTGCCGTCTCACTGAGTAAAGCGGCGAGGCTGTCTTCTGTGACGCTCTCTGGAAGATTTGAAATATAAATCGTATTTGCTTCCAGGCCCACCGTCGCCCCTGCACAAGTAAAGAAGACAATTTAGAATGTTACAACGTATCCTCAGCAACTTTAATATCCACACACTGCAAAAACTTGCACACCTTCCTGAACACGTTAACAACATGGCACTGATTCTCCACTGGATTAAGTTACCAAAACCTTTCTCGCACATTGAAAAAATTGAGCAAACAGAGAATAAACTTAATGCAATGCCCCATGTTCATGATACTCCAGAAGTCATTGGGTGTTTATCGTGTACCCAAAGGTTGTTTGCTTCAGCCAGAATCCAGCACATCTGGTTTTCTTCAGCGTGGCAAGAGCCATGCGACCAGGGGCGTTTCTCACAATCAAGTAATCGAAGGGAAGAGTGTTGCTGATGGTTTCTCTCAATACTAAATGGTCTAGACCAAAGACCAATAAATATACTTCCACACCACACAAAACCTCCACAATCCCATGAAGACTAGAGATCGAAACCGATTGAAGTCCCATCGAAGACATGAGGTAACCGTGATATCGCAGCAGCTATAGCTATAGCTTCAAGTTACCCCTTAATAATCGACAGACTAATCCTTGAAACCCACGTACATTCCAAACCCTCGAGATCGTCAAGCCCACTATGTCATGCCCCAATGTTCTTGAATAATACTATTCCAACGAACATATGTTGTATGCCCTGCAAATCACAAACCTGGACCGCATTCCGTCCAATGTAACAGTCTCCAGCCCCCACACCTCAGCACATCGGGAGACCTTGCGGCACGGAGGTTCTACACCAAAGAGTGACTTCTGAGATGACGAGGTCCTTGGAATAGATTTAATGGCTAGCTTGAGTCCAGAACTTATGGTGATGCCACAAACAAGTGATTCGCGAAGCAAAATCACACATGACTAACCATATAAACTGAAGAAAGAGGTCTCCGATTAAAATGCCTTAGCCGCGAATGCTTCTCCAAAGAATCTTAATCGTATTGCCGAGGTGCATGAAGTTCATCAAGGCAACACTCTCAACCTCTTGACCCCACCGTTTCCCCCCAACCATATCCCCACCGTAGGATGCTTAAACATACTCTCACTGTCGTACTTAGTTCGTCCCAACCAATGCATGCCAGCAAAACCTCACTTGAAATCGTCGTATTTTCCCTCATGTAAATCATCAGTTACACCTTAGTCTACGGTAGAATCACTTGGAGGTGGACAGAGAAATCTAGTGCGGAGCAGAACTTGTACTAGGTTTCGACTGATATTATTCGAACACCACATCACACATTGTCTGGATCAGATCCATCTCATCATTGGTGTTCATCGTCAGCCCCAAACCCCTTCAGTAGTCTTAACCCCAGCTTTCAGCAAGGGCAGCAATGATGTCCAACTTGCCCACCGGCAGCTGTACACAATGCTGCAAACCCCATCGCAAGTTTTCTCTGGCTTGACAGGTGGAACCCATGAATTGGAAGCTTATGACCAGTTTTCTATCCGTATTGGTCTCTACCCGTATAGTGGTCCAGAAACGCCCAACACATACACGGAATACAAGGAATCTCATTGGATCTCTGTGCTCCAGAGGATACGCTCGATGGTCGTGACTCAATGCAAACCCGTCCACGCAGTCCTCTATTCACGCGTCTCGTCTCAGAATCGAGAATATTCCTCACAAAAACAAGACTGACATGTAGCTCACTACCTTGGCCTACTGGCATCAGATGCGTGCAGCACAATAAAAGGCAAACCTGCAGAGCCGTGTCTGTCTTCCCGGTCGTCGCGAGTGCCATGAATCTCTCGGTCACGACTTCCAGGTCCCCCTTCATTCTGGTGAGAGAAACCTCCCACCATCCCAGCCCGACCCACCGACCCAATATGGCCATGCCCGTTGCGTTCAACGTAGGGTTCCCTCTCTCGGCCTCTGTCCCTTTCTTTGTCATAATCACGACCTCGCTCCTTGTCTTTGAATCGGTCTCTCTCTTTCTCGTGCTCCCGGTCTCTCCACCTATCACGACTCCTATCTCTGTCCTTATCAGGATATGAGTCAAACTCGCGGCTGCTCCTCTCCACACCATCCCGGCTGCGGCTGTGGTGGGGAGAATGATAGTCCTTGTGATGCAGAGGAGCCATACCGAACTGCATGTCGCGTTCTCCCATACTGTCAAGCATTAACCCCGGCACCTGGAAAAGAAACCTTGGCGAGCTTCTCTTTCTTTTGGTTGCTAGAAGAACCTCTTTCCGATTACAATCCTGCAACTGTGCACCTGACTAAAACCGTCAATGACAACCGACAGTCGCCCTGCACGACTTCCTCCCCATACCACCATATCCCATGACAAATAATAGCATTGCAAGCCCCTCTTTCCTAATATCAAAAGCCGGAATACACTATGAACACATATTAACACCGCTTCGAATCCTGACCCAAAATAACGAATAACCAACCTATCTCCGAGTCTAAGCCATAGTATTCCAACGGAGAGCCTCAATCCTTTCCCCTTGGCAAAACCGCGCCTACTGCCAAATCAAGAACCCTCCTCAAAACCAACGCCCATCCACCACAACCCAACTCTTCCGAAACTCCCTTGTCCACCTCTAATCGTCCCCCCATCCCATACGTGTGCTTGCTTACTTTAGTCCACCACTGCAATCTACTGCCGGTATTCCCAGACGCCTCGATACGCCGTCAATACTCGATCCTGTACATCCGAAACCACTTTAAGGCTATCGAAGATGAGATTTCCAGCACAACTAGAAACCTAATGACAGTCCCCGCCCACCATATCCGCGCAGATCCATAGTCGCCACAAATTAATGACTCCGCCACACAAATGATATGCCAGAATTAAAGAAGAAGGAGAAGTGGCGAGGCAAAGCGACGAGGCCCAGTCATGTGCTGCGTACCAATGGCGATGCCGATAGAAGTCCAACCTCCCTCCCCTCTCGCATACAAACACACACACGCACACACGCACAAGTGTAGAGTCTTCCAGAGACAAAGAAGGCAAGTCAAGGGCCAGTCACGAGAAGAAGCGCGAAGCTGGAACCCTCGTCCTGCCCTAATCTTAACGCGCACCCACCCCATCCCCACCGCCGCGCCTTTGGGGTTCCGCCCCTACGACCGTGGAGATGACGTCAGTCCGATAGCCGCATTCACACTGACAAGGGCGGGAGAGGGATATATCCACTGCGTTGTTGCACTGCGTTGTTTATTATAGAGTATCAGTTACTTCAAAAATTTATTTTAATGTCATAATATGTTTTAATCTTATGTACAAGTATACAACATACAAAGAAGAATATAGATATATATATATATATATACAGTTTTATTGCAACTTTAAATTAATTTGATTGTATTTTTTTATATCTATTATGATTTTAAAACTATTACCAACAATGACTCAGTCACAATTTTTAATATGAATTGCAAGAAACAGTCTTTACAAAATAAAATATTAATAAATCTTAACAACATACCCCTTTTTCTACTTTCTGTTTGAAATGATTTCTCTCTTTTCTTTTATTTTTTGTTGATATTCCTCAAAAATTAATAACTAATATTCATGCACAAATAGAATATGAAAAATGGAAATATAAGCTATAATAATAATAATTTGAATAATTAAACATAATATATATATAATTAAAATCAAATCAAATCAAATCAAATAATTTTTTATTGTATTTTATAATGTGTTGTTATCTACTGCTAATTACCAAACTAATATGAAATAATCAAACTTTAAATAGACTAAAAATATTAGATAGTGTTCCAAAAGAATTCATGTCACTTGTGGCTATGGTGACACATGCTTACATCATGTATACATGATACATGGGTCATCTAGATGTATGGATGTATGCATGCATATGTGAATGTGAGGTTTGTGTACAACATTTCCAAACACCAAAAATTCTCAAGTTTGAAATTCACATGTGAATTTCAAAGGATCTTAAGAATGCCTCAAATCATGTGTTTACTCTCTTTTGTAATGAGTGGGTGGAGGTGAAGTAGACTTTGGTGTAGACATGTTGAGGATAAATAGATATGTTGAAATTATGACAAAGTTCACTCCACCAATGTATTGAATAGGTTAATTCGTTAGATATATACATATATATATATATATACACACACACACAAAAAAAAAAGGGGACATTTCAATTTGATTGATAATAAAATAGAAATAATAATTATATGCCTATACTAATATAATAAATATTTACACTGGTTTCAATTTCATCTAAATTATGTGTGTTGCATGCAATTTACAAAATCTATACTTTGAAATTTGTAATTTTATCCTTGTTCATAAATTGTATTAATAAATAGTATATGTTAAGAAGTTTTGTTGTAAATTTACATTCAGTTTGTCTATATTTACACCATTTTATTGAAAAAATTGCTTAAATACACGTACATATTTTAAAATAATTTGTTGCTTTGTTTCAAAACTAAATAGTTGTATGTTTTTTTTAAAGTTTTCTACTCTTGACACCAAAGATAATTATCTAAAATTAAAATTTAATGTTAACGGCAAGTGTAAAATAAATAAATAATTAATTAATTAATTATGATATTGTAGAAATTATTTCTAAATTACTTTATGTTGTCGTATCTATGTGTTTAGTGATAAAATTCAAAGTTTTAAATCAAAAGGTGATTTAATTATTTTTTTCCAACAATTTACCCTTTTTTATTGTATAAAACCTTGATGTACAATATATATATATATATATATATATATATATTAACATCTAGTTAATTAGTTAATTTATTTTACATAAAATGATTTTTATAGTTTTTTTATATCTAATATATAATGAGGGTTTTTTTGGGGATTTATTGTAGAACTGTTATTTTTATTATCTGAATCGCCTCTTCTTATTTGTATTGTGATAAAAGTATTTGTATTGTTGTCCAAACTTGTTTGGTTTTTTAGTAATTATGTCTAAACACCAGAACATTATTTTCATTCAATATTTTTTTTGTAGAATATTGTATTTTATTTATTTTTAGCCACGCATTTACCAAGTCATATATTTGTAACTTAAAAGCTGCAACCAAAAAGAATTGACAGATGGACTATTTAATAATTAATTTACTAGTATGCTAGAATAACATGTTATTAGATTGAATCTCATCTTTCTATAAATACATAAAATTATATAACAAATCTTTGATTAGGATTTTCTTTTTCTTTTTCTTATGATTGGTTATGTGAGAAGAAATCCAAAATGAAAATTAGATCAATTACATGTGTAGGTATGATTTGTCATTAATTATTTGTAATCTATCCCAACATATACTTTTACTATATTTAACGTTAAAAGAAGTGAGAGTACTATATATATATATATATATATATAAATGTTAAATAGACCTAAGTTTTTATTAAATCAATCCACCTATCCTAACCATTGTGATTTTTTTTTAATGATTTCTAGATTAATTTCTCCATTATTAGATCTGTAACCAATAAAAACCAACCATGTTCATCATGATTACCATGTTCTTCATTAAAGGTGGGTATTTTTAGTAAATTCATGGATATATTTGACATTCCCATATATATGTATATATTATTTAACAAGCAATTTCACCGCAAATCAATTGTCTTCTTAGTAGTCCTTTCACAATTGTTACACTTAATCTTGTTTATGCTTTTGAAGATTTACATCTTGATTTTCACAAAACGATTAGACAATACTTGGATGACATATGTAAAACAACATGAATGTTACTAGAAAGCCGAAAAAAGCGATACTATATTTAGTATCAAATGGAAATGAGACAGTTGGATGAAAGACCACCATCCATCCATCAAGGGACAGAATTGGATGACCAGGTGTTGACAAACTCCCAAGCAGGTGTGAAAAGGGCCAGCATCCGAGACGATCGGAAGGGATGCTGGAAGAATGAGCGGCTGCGATGAGCCACTGCAGCTCTCTCTGGATGTGCACCACGTCATCAGTATATATACCCGGATCCGAGAGACACCCGGATATATGAGCCCCCGTCGTCCAGCAATTAGTGGTCACATAGGCCTAAAGCGTTTCAGGCTTCAGTGGCACAAATCCTCCAGCAAAGCTTACAAGCTGCTGCCATTAGCTCTCTCACGACGAGCTTGCACGAGATTGACGTGAGAGTGGAAAAAGCAGTCGCACTGAGTCCTCGGAGGATAGATTGCTTCACACTGCGTGGTCGCGAATCGAAGCTCTCAGGATTGCTTGGTGGGTGAATTGTCTGGTTGCGGAAGTTGGTGGTGTTAGCTCTGAGAGGAGCAGATATGGCGGCCATGGTGGTGGCCTCGAGCACGGCGATGGGGATGCCTGCCGTGGGTAGAAGGGAGTTGGGTCCTTGCTCATCGCCCACCGCCAGGCCGCAGCTGGTGCAGTTGCCCAGTCGGAAGAATGTATCCAGCGTGGTGGATACGTCGGTGGTCTTGGGAAAAGTGAATGCGCGGTCCAGGGAAAGTAGCTTTCCAGTCACACGGAGTGCGTTGGTAGAGAATCCTTCTCCGGTATATTGGCCCCTCGCGAACCCTTGACCTAATGTGTCTCGTTGTTGGTAATTGCTGGAAGCTCTCAATTGCCACCAATTCGGCCAACCTATCCGTTTCTCCTCTTTTCTGCATTCTGTCAGAGTGTTGTAAGGTTTTCAATCAATGAATGGCTATTGAAGAATTGCATCTGTGTCCCAGACTGCAAGCAAGCAACAGTCCGTCTCGAACATTAAGTATTAATACCTCAATTGTTGGGGTTTTTATGAACGCCTTTGGATGTTTTGCTCTTTATCCAGTAATGCAACACTTATTTAATTGGGATAGTGAAGGTTTAGAGCACCTTGAAATTGGAAGCTTATTACCTGTTCTCTAAAGAGCTGACACATCGTGCAGCATAAACACGAGTCATATACGGTGGGTGACTTCATGACACCTATGACGGAGTTATATTGTGCAACAGAAAACACCACAATAGATGAAGGTATGCAGGCATAAAGGTCCTTTCTTGTTTTTTCTCAGAGAGTTGTTTGGTTGCTTCTCTAAGTTTCAATTTTAGATGAATTCATTTGAAGACTTGCCTAGAGTTAGAAAGAGTAACTAAATATTAATGGGATTTCTTGCAGCACTAGAGGTCCTTGTCGATAGGCGCATCACTGGGATGCCTGTGGTCGACGACACTGGAGCTTTGGTACGTTGACAGGCTCCGTCTCTAGTTATCTTGTGGGTCTGAGGAAGTAGCCCTGTTTTTTTTTTTTTTTTTTTTTTTTTTTTTCAGTTATTTTCTCCATGATATGTGGATGTAGTACAAAACGACCTTGAGCATATTTTGGCGACCTGTGATTGTGTGTGTCTTCTTTAGCTTTCGAGTCGTAACTGTACTGATATTATTGAGTCTAGAGAGGTAGATCATAAATCTTTTACCGAGCTCTGTTTTTGGCTGTCTTCAGAACGATGTTGTATCTTTACACCTCGCCAAATTTGTGCTTGTTCTTACTCTGGTTTCTTGGGGTGTTTAGATGCTACTTTTAAGTTTTTGCCATCAAGTTAGGTTCGAGGACTTTGTATTAAGTTGTGCTTCTTCGAGTAACAGTTTCATGTGCGATGTAGGTGGGGGTTGTCTCCGATTATGATCTATTAGCGCTTGACTCAATATCAGGTTGTCCTCATAAACTGGTTCTGATTTCCTTAACTTCACGTGGTTGCGCGCACATCTATGTAAGATAGTCTTGGCAATGCTGCACTTTAATTTGGGCAACATTTGCATGGTTCAAATTGTTTTGGTGATTGATGCACAGCAGGAATTTGGTTTCAATAAGATGCACTTGAGTGATTGTAGACTTTCTTTGTGGTTGATAGGGCAAAGACAACCTGAAACTAGTTTATTTCCGGAGGCAGGCAGGACGTGGAAGGTTAGTTTCAGTCAATTTATGAAGTGCTCCAGCACTTTTGTAGTTCGAGTTTACTATATTTTGAGAATGAATCGATTATGATTTAGCTCTTTTGCTCTCTATAGTTAATAGAATTCTCCAGATGATTGTGACCAACTTATATAAGGGTTGCACTTCCTCAGGCATTTAAAGAGATCCAGAAATTGTTAGTTAAAACTAATGGAAAGACAATTGGAGATGTGATGACCCCATCACCCCTCGTTGTTCGTAAACAAACCAACCTTGAAGATGCAGCAAAGTAAGCTATTTCTGATCCTGCGTTTGATAAGTTCTTTGTCTCGAATGCAATATAGCTTTACTATCATTAAGTATGAAAATTAAGCTTTTCTTAGTCGTTGAAGCTCGACGATCCAATATACATGTAACCTTATTTTGCTGTTGTAGGCTATTGCACAGTCCAGGGATCTTAACTTGTTTGGATAGGAATATGCTCTGAAAATGAAACCATAGTAACACTTTAGTAGTAGCTGTGACACCTATTCAAGTAGGCTTTTTATGTCGCGAAGTGTTAGAAATTGTAGGTCTCACGAAGATGTTAAAAAATGGTCTCGAGATGCTAATATATGGTGATTTTATGCATGTGGCAGAGTTTTGCTGGATACCAAATTTAGGCGCTTGCCTGTTGTTGATCAGGATGGTAAATTGGTGAGTGAATCTAGTACCTGTCCTCTCACACCGTCTGGTTTAATATGAATTTGGCAGTAGATTTCTTCAGCTACATGCTAGGTACTGTTCTTTGTTTGAATGGATTGCCTAGCTTCGTTAGCATTTGTTCTTGCCTCCTTAGTTGTCCAGACATATTTTTAAATAATAGTGGAAATCTCGTCTATATCACAGGTGGGTCTTTTGACAAGAGGTAATGTCGTTAGAGCTGCACTGTATATGAAGCGAACTGCTGAAGATGCGCTTGGAGGAAAGAAAGCTGCAGAAGATATATTCAAAGAAATATAAGTATTGTTTAGTTTGTAGATGTTATCTAATTCTTTTCGAGCAAGCCTTCAAAGATCTTGCTGATAATGTATTGTAGGTGTTGCACCACTGTGACGTTACCTCAGGGTTGTTAGATACACTAATTCTTCCACTGTCCATGCACGCTATGGATTTATTTACTCATTGTCGACTAATTGGTGCAATCCATTGAGAGAGACGTTGGGAATGCACCGTTTATTAATTGGGATTGGGATTTGAAAACAATTTTTTTTAAAAATCGAACAGTGCACACCAAAGTTGATTGAAGAATAGTGGAAATGCATTGTATTCCAGGTGGGGCCCAAAGTTTGAAACATAGATTCCAACATCTATATTGGACTGTGTGATTATTGCAGATGATACTCATTGAAAGCATGAGTTGCTTGTGAGTTGTACAAGTCAAAATATACCAACTCATAATGTAGTAAAATTATAGACAAGGCACATGAAATTGCAGAAAAACTATCTGAATTTTAAACAATGCCAATTCATTGAACTAAATTACAACGAATACAACACTAGGAGCTCCAATTCAAGATCTGATATTTGAAGTTACTTTATAAATCAAATTTGGTTAACTAGTCCTCTCCACTCATAGCTTATTTTCATTGCATTTTAAAGAATGACCAACTTCTGGTTTTCTAAATGAGAAAATGTGTATTTATAACTTTCAAAATGAGAGGTTATATGAATTTATGTATTTTTTGAAGCACTCATGTCATTTCTATGTATTTAGACAAATGTAATAATTGATTAGAAAAAAACTTATTATTATCTATTATACATGCTAGTTGTTTTTGTTCTTGTATCTAAGATTTAATATTTATAAAATGATAAGCTTTTTCATTATATTATTAATCAAATTCTATAGATAAGGATTTATTATCTAAACTATCATTGACTATTCAAATAAATATTCTAATTTTTTTTGTAGATATATTATAAATAAATAAATAAATGAAGTCTTGTTTTATTATTCCTTCCATTCAAGATTATGAATATATTATTAAAATATTCTAATTTGCTTAATAAAACCACTACAATTTAATTACTTTATTTATATATAAACTTATAATATATATATATATATATGTGAATATAATTTTATATAAATATTATAGAAGGTTCCAAAATATATTAAAAAGATTATTAAAAAAACAAAAAAATACCAAATTGTTCTTTTATGAAATCAACAAAAAATTTATAAAAAACAAAAAGAATCAAATATCTATATCAAGCAATTGAAAGAAACTAAATTCATCACATTTAAGAATAAAAAACATCTATTAAATAAAACACATTGTTGTATTGTATTTAAGCACAATATATAAAAATTAGATAAAAAATATGAAATACATCTATTTTAATTTGTATTTTTTTATCAAATAAAATATTTTAAAAACAACTATATATTAGAAATAATTAATAATTAAAGATAATATTATATATATTATTAATAAAAAATTTCATAGTTCTTAAAAAATTATATTTGTAGAAGAAAATTAAGATTTATGATAATTAATTATTAAAGAATATATTTAAATATTCTTTTTAATTTAATTTAATTTAATTTTTATTTATTCACGGTATTTAGATGGTTGGTTTTGCAATGCTTATATTAGAAGATTATGTTGGATGATAAAGACACTTATTGCCTAAAAGTAAGAGGAATGAATCTCCTTTAATAATAATATGATGTGTGACATCTACACCTTATAAATATGTATCTTCTTCATAGATTATTATGTAACTTCTCCTAAAAAAGAATGAGCAACAAGTTGGTGGTAGCTAAAGTGTGATGACATTAATCCTTTAGAAACTTCAACTCAACTTTTTTTTCTTTTAAATAAAAAAACATAAAATAAAATAAAATTTAAAGTTTAAGATTTGAAATTAAGTTTTAAGATTTAAAATTTAGAAATAGGGTAGTATTTAGGGTTCTGAAAGCATAACAACATTCTTTAGAAAGAAATTTAAAGACTATTAAAGAAGATTTTGGACTCTCTTGTATTTGTTTTATAAGCATTTAATGAAAGGATTTGTTGACAATATGAAAAACAAGAGAATTTTTGAAAGATTTATATTTTATTGAATTTTATATATATTTTGCAAGTTTTTATAAAAAAAGTAGGGAAATTAATAGCAACTAGAGGCCCTATATTTTTTCAAGGCAATCTTTTTGTCTATGATATATTGGTACTTCTACTAAGATTGCATTGAGGCACTTATTGTTTTACTAGAAGTAATGAAAGATAGTGATTCAAGATTTGGAATGTCAAAAGGAGTAGATTCAAACGACTTATTTTGAGCATTTATGCAATTTATGGAGCAATGACAACAAGTTCAAAAGAGTGGCAAAGGTACCACTAAAGTCTTCCACATTGTGATTGATAAGATTAGAAGATTTGAAGAAAAAAATATCACCAAATGTTTTAGGATCTTGGTATGTATGATGAAAGTACATTAAGTTCTAGAGATAAAAATGATTTCTACTTTTGATCTTAGTGTTCTTGAGATTAGAGAAAGAATAAAAAAGTTAAATGAAGACTTCATTTCTTAGAGTGAATTTGTGGAATATCTCAAGGATAATTTTTTAAAGAAGATAAAAAATGAATGATCAAAAAACTATTTTTAGAATAGATTGAGTAAAGGCATGGATGTTAAATGGGCTTAAAAAAATTAATTAAAGATTTCAAGAAGAAATTTTGTTCAATTACTAAAATATAAAAAGTAGTTACATAACACTAAAAAAATTGAGTTATTTTTTACAAATAACAAATGATCATTTAAAAAATAAATTACTCTTTTACTTATTAGATAAGATATTTGAAAATAATTTTATTAATAATTGAAAAAATATAAAAGAGATAATTAGACTTTTAGCTAAGTATCAAAAGCTCAAGACTTGTGGTTATCTAAGACAATTCGATCTAGTGCCCATTGTCCAAAATTCTTGATCAATCCAAAAGATGAACAAGGTTACTTATAATAAAGCACCCAAAGAATTAATCAAAAGCATGAAAGATTTGAAGATAGAGATGACAGAATTGAAAAGTTTTCAAAAGCTTAATACATCAAATATTTCAAGATAATCTAAGAGATATGTGAAAAGATGTATGTGGTATAATAGTTTAGGCTACAAGCACAATAAATATAATAACTATAAAGCAATGATAAGAGAAGGTATTGTTTATTTCAAAAGAAGAAAGATAAGACTTTCAAGCTTTGATAAATTTTTAAGAACCAACTTTGAAAAAAGAGGTATAAAAAAATAGATAGAAGAACTAAAAAATAAGAATAAGATCATATCTAAAAGAGAAGAAAAGTCTTATGCCATTAAAGTGTGACAAAGAAAAGTGAAGATTGTTAATTTACTAATAATTGATATTATAAAAAAAATTGAGACTATTAGAAGAATAATTAGGTGAAAAAATGTGGTTGATGCTATGATCATAAGAGCTTTTTCAAATGAAGATCAACAAGTTCATAGTTCATATGGTATTGTGATTAAAGAAAAGAGAGGTAGAGCTATTCAACAAAAATATTCTATTAAACTTTTCAATAAGAAGAAAGCATCAAAGAAGAAGAAAGAAAATGAAAAGGATACATCAAAGAAGACCAAAAGTAAAAATCTTGTCTATAAACATTAATTTTATATTGAAATATCTATTGATATGAAGAATATTTTAAAAGAAAAATTTTGAATGCCAAAATTGAACTTACCTTAAGAAAATCTCTTAGTAATTTTTTAAAATAAAATAACCATTAAAAATATGAAATTTAGACTAATGATAGATGAAATAATGAAACGATTTGCTTGTTATACTATCTATCCTATTAGTTGCTTATATTCAAGGTATGATCAATTTCAATTGGAAAAATAAAAAAGAGACCTTACAACCATAAAAAGTTTTTTGGATTTAATGAAGATGTGTACATTATTTCAAGATGCAAGTAATTCAATGGTTTATATGTAAAATAAAATAAATCACATATCAAAAGAATTTATGTTAAAGAAGATCATTTCATTTTTAGATGATATATCAATAAAAGATTGCAAATATGAAGAAAGAAATAAAACCATTGATGCAAATGGTTATAAAATATTTATTAAGAAGCATATTATCAAGGATATGAATTAAAAGAGATGCATAAGCCAATAAAATCCATATCAAAGAAAAAGTGACAAAATAGAAATAAGAAAGTATATATATTAAAAAAAAACTGGAATGGCTTATTGCCAAAAGACAAAAAAACTTAAAACTCTTGAAACTAGAGTAGAAGCAAGAAAAAAGTTGAGAAGAGTGAAGAAGGCTTCACTCTTGCCTTTATATATACTATCTAACTAGGAGCTACATGGCGATGTTCTAAAGGACCTCTAATATGTGTTGAATTTGCAAGATACATGTCTTAGCCTATAAAGCAAGTTTTTTACATGTAGGCCACATAATTAGCTTGTTCTTTAAGCTATCAATATATGTGGCACATGGTTAATTTTTTGACCACGTTTTTAACTTAAAAAGTCAATTAAATATATTTATAAAGTCAAAATAACATCTATAAAGCTTCTAGGAAGCTTCTATATAAAATATTATGAAATTGATTTATTTTTACTTACTATTATCTGAATCATATAAGTAATTATTGATTTATATGTGTATGTCCATGACATTACCCCCACTTCTAGAAACGAGTTCCACAAGGAGTGGTCTTTATACGTTGAAAAAATCAAAGATGCAGCAAATTATATTTGCCACATACTCCGATCTTTGTTCTCTTCAAAGATAGTTGATAGGCCATCTTAGCCATTGAAAGTGTCCTATATTAGGACAAGAAGACCACCCTATTATTTGATCATTTTTGAGGCCTTCATAACTTCCTTCAAATAAAATATTTGGAAAATCATCAAGAGTTGTTCCTACCTCTAATAAAATTTCCAAATATCGAGAGTCTCTTTTAAGGTTGTGATGTCAAATGCGTTGTATCTCGCCATCTATTAAAGGGAGAACATGTCATTCTTGAGGATCTTCATCTCGATTACATCATCTTGAAGGTTGTAAAAATTGCAATGTCACATCCAATAAGTCAATAGATGAAGGCTCTTCAGTCAAATCTCTAGTTGTTGATTATCCATCTCCTCAGCG